CCTACCCCACCCTCTTCTGTCAACTTGCTAGTTCTTGTCTGTACACCTTCGAGTTGGTGCGACACTAAACACAAGCCACCGGAGAAGTCCAAATCTTCTAGGTTCTTTTCCCCGGTTCAGCGTATCCCCCTCTCCTCGCTCCTCACTGTATGCTGCACCATCCGGTCTACTACAATTAGGAAGATCATGAGTGATAGTAGACAGCCTTGTCTTATCCCTGTCCCCTGTCTTCACTTCAAAGGCATCACTGAGCTTCCCATTGTGAATTACTTGGCATGTGGCATCTTCATATAGTTGCTGAATTAGATTGATAGAGGTTTGTGGTATTCGGTAGTGTTGAAGCAACTGCCAAATTACCTGTCGGTGGACGCAGTCGAAGGCCTTCGCAAAGTCGATGAAGTTGGGGTAAGGTGGAGAGTTGACTGGCATTCTATACTATGTTCTGTGATGATGCGTTGCGTAGAGGTGCAATTTGGTCCGCACATGATTTGTACTTCCTGAATCCAGCCAGCCTGTTCCGGTCGTAGTTTTGAATATTTTGCTTGGGATGGACAGGAGTGGAGCGTGATTCCGCGCCAGTTCCTGCAAACGCTAAGGCCACCCTTCTTCTGGAGTTTAACAAGGTAGCCCTTGTTCCAATCAATAGGCAGGTACCTTCCCTTCCTCCCACACCTTCTGCAATAGTGGTGTAGTGTGAGTATGTCCGCTGTTGTCTCTGCGTCTGCTCTCAGTACTTCTGGCATGATTCCAACTGGTCCTGCTGCTTTCCCACACTTCAGTAGCTTTGTGGCGCTCACGACTTCGACTTTTGTTGAAGGATTTGTGTTGACTGGTAATTCTGTGACTGGGCTGCTGGTGGTATTTCTGGGTGAAGTGCAGGTGGTTGTGATGATCGATTCAAGAGCTTCTCGAAGTGGTCAGCCCATCGTTTCCTTTGTTTCTCTTCTTAGGTAGTTGGATTTCCTTCACCATCTTTTATTGGTTTCATTTGTGTTGATCTCTTCCCTACCAGAGAGTAACCTGGTTATTTGATACAATGTTGTCAGGTCTCTGTCTCTCCTACCGGCCGACAGCCTGTTCTGCTTCACTTGCCAGTGTTTTGTGGAAGAGTCTTTTGTGTTTGCGTGCATTCTTCTTCACTTCTTTGTCCAGTGTAGTGTTTTATACATTGTACTCAGTTCCTCCTCTCTTTGAGCATCCTTGCACTGGTTTATCTTCTGTTTCACCATCCTCCTCCCCCTGCTCTATCAGCTTAAATGTGTCCGTCGAGATCCATTCCATTTCTTGTCTTCTTTATTCTTCCTTTCTAATGCGACTATGCAGGTTTCTTTCCATATAGCTTCCAAAGAGTTCCAGTGCTCGTCCACACAGTTTTTTTCAGGGATGTTGCCCATTATCTCCCATTTCATCTTGATGGCTGACGTGAAGATGTCCTTTGTAGTTTTGTCTTTCAGTTTCTGTTCTGGGTTTTGAAATTGAACTGTGATTTATCACCAACTTCCTTGAAGGCTTTCAATTCGATTTTGAAGGTTCTTTGCACTAGATACTGAGTGGTCTAAACCTGCATCTGCTCTTCTTCTTGACATTGTGTCAAGTATGCTGCGTCTCCACTTTCTTCACATTGAGATGAAGTCAATCTGATTTTTAGTGTCCTGGTGTCTGATGGAATCCATGTCGCTTTGTCGATATCCTTGTGCTTGAACACACTGCCTCGCCTCCAATCACCAAATCGTTGAATGCACAGAATTCTGCAAACAATTCTCCATTCTCTTTCATTTCTCCTCACCGAGCGCTTCTCGACCCATGGTTAGTTCTCTTTTTGTGTTGTGCTGTCCCACTTTGGCACTCATGTAACTCCACCCATCAGAATTTTGATATCGCCAACTGGCTTGTGGTCTTGTCCACTGTTGACTGCAGTTGTCTGTAGAATTCCTCCCTCTTCTCTTCATCTGCATTATTTGTAGGTGCATAGCGTAGCATTGTATGATTGTGACTTTCCTTCCTTTTCAGTTGAACCTTGCTGTTATGATCCTGCAGGAGGAGATTGGTTCCCACTGCATGAGAGCCTGTGATACTCTTGGATGTGGGACATCATGATAGTCATTCCCTCCATGTGCGCGTGGTTGTCGTCTGAGTGACAATATCGGAGTAGATTTTTGATTCTCCAGTTGACAGTTTGGAGAGTCCACTTCCATTCCATCTGCTTTCGCAAGTTCCTAACACTTCAATATGATACCTTCTCATCTCCTTTGCAATCTGATCAGCCTTGGTAGGTTCAAACATTGTGTGGACATTCCATGTCCCCACGTTTACTTTCGCTTTCATCGAGAGAAGAGAAGATACACCAGCCAACTGACTTCCTGAAGGCTTTCACCAACCGGCGTCATTTCACCTCTCCGGTTCCTGCGAGGAACAATACTGTTTTCATTTTTTATATTTTGTTTGTGCTTTCAAGTTTCTTTAGCAGTTGGCTAATCATCAATGCAAAAGACACAATGAACATCTTTAACACTTTTGTTTAAACTGTAGACAATATCTTGATGTAAGTCAGCGACTGCATCTATGGTATTCTTCCGGTGTTTGTAAGCAAACTGTTTCGGACTTGTGAAAACCACCAATGAAGGCTCAAGCACAAAGAAGAATAATTTCTCCACTGTCTTGGATAAGTCCCCAGAAGATAAGTTAGGCACAAGTAAAACTGTGATCTCCTTCCGAGTAACGGGTGTTGTGTTTTTGGAAAATGATACATTGAAGATATCTATAAGAGGGATGACATAAAATATCTGCACATTTTCTAAGCATAATACTAGAAACACCATCAGGACCTAAGCTTTGGGAGGGATTCAAGGATTTTAGACATTTAAATGCATCATATGTATTGAAACTTGGGAAGCAGCTATCCATTTGACTTTGGACATTAGGAAGGGTGGAATCAGCTTGCAGACGTATAAATGATTTGTTTAACGTGCAGACATCCGAACAGGATTCTTTTGTCATCTGGTTTCTACCACTCAGCTCTTTAAATAATTTCCATATACAAGAAGAGTTCTTACATGATAGAATCTTCTGGTTGTAAATAGTATTCAGACCTAATTAAACAGTTAAGTCTTTTAACGCCAGGGTGATCTCTTGCCTTATACAACCTTTCATTTTCTCTCCATAGCTTCTTAAGATGGGGAGAGGAAAGCCCGTTAAATCTCATTTAGATTGTTTCAGCAGGGCAGCAACTATCGATACGGAATCTGAGGTAGTTTGTGATCTTAGTGATAGTATTGTCTAAAACTTCATCAGCAAATATGTCCCAGTCTGTTTCCATAAACATACTTCTCAAATGTAGCATATTCTCAAGTGAAAGGTAACTCTGTTGGACTTTCTTGGACAGATATCCGAAAGCCTTTTTTTCTGATTCGACGTTTACTTTAGTTAGAACACGTGCAATACACTGGTCAGAATTTAGCAGCAGAGCCGGTTTATGGACTTCGTATATGCCTAAGTCGTTAGTAAATACTAAATCTAGGGTGTTGTTAAAACTAGTCGAAAATTTAACCATATTTTTGTGACCCAATGATACAAGGGAACTGTAGTCACATCATTCAAAATCTCCACAGACTATAGACAATAGTTACTCAGAATCGGAGTGGAAAATTCAGTGAACTTGTCAGCAAAATCTGACAAATCTGAGAAACTACAGTCTGGTGGACTATAAATGTTTGTCATGCATACATGTTTGTTTTTACTCAAATGTCAGGGACGACATTTAATTGCAATGTATTCAATTTTTCGTTAGAGAAGTTAAAGCATATATAGTTGTATGTGGAGCAGTTTGTACTGATAAGTTTTGCTACACCCTCACCACATTTTTTCTTGGAAAAGCCTCGATCTTGTTGACATAGTTGTCGTCATACAGGTTATGAAGTCATGTTTCTTGCAGCATTATTACACCCGTATTCCGGAAGACGTTTGCGGATAAGAGTGGTTGAAGGTAATCAACTTTCTTCTGTAACGACCTAAAGTTCGTGCTGAGTATTTCCGGAGAGGTCATTTGATCTGTTGTAATACGACTGAGAGCCCATTATCATCTACTATGGTGCTTTTTCCTAATTTATCTATCAGTATGAGAGCTACAGGCTGTCTAACGACTAGCCGCTGATACGTTTTCATCTAACCTGTATGTAAATAGGCAGGTAGGTACATTGTAGCAGGGAGCACATAGAGCAGTGTGAGTTTATTAGTGGCCACGAGACTCTGGAAAGGGAAAGAGGAATAGAAAAAGGTGGGCTGACGATTCAGCAAGTACATAGGCTGTATTTATATTTAATGATAAAAGATAAATGACAAACGGTAGAACTTGACAACGAAGAAGTGAGGAAGTTTAGAAATCGAAAGTGAGAGGTGAATGAGTAAGATTTCGGATACGTTACAGTTGTAATAACTTTAAAAACGTGTAGAAGCATATAATACGATCTGATACCTCAGTTGAATGATTAAAACAATATGGAAAAGAGAAATTTAATGTAATATGTTCCGTGATAAAATAAGGTAGTCCAAAGTTCAAGTAGGCCTCTTTCATACTGTTACAATATACAGCAAGGCTAGCAGTAACATGGTTCAAACAAGGTCCAAACAACTCACCTTTAGTACCTTTTACCTCATAGCTGAATGGTGATGGTTCATTTCATAGAAGGAACATAAATTTCCCAGTTGTTTTGTGTACCAATAACCACGCAAAATTTAAATTTAGTTTTCTTCAAGTATCTGATACTACACATTATCCAGTTGTTTCAATGAGCCCAGTTAATCAAGCTTCAAGGTAAAGTTTGAAAGAGAATGAAATATTTTTATGATAAGGTATATCTGTTATCACTGAATTTCAAAATCTGTCATATTACTCATATCTTTAACTGTTCATTATTCCATATGATAAAGTTAAATTTTCAATGTATACAAATGATTTGCCAAGTACGCTCTATTTCTTCTTATAATGATAAAACATAAATTAGGAACTTGAAGAACAATGTCGATTGTTTGCAGCAGCTAGAATAAAAATGACAAAAATGCGCATGATGAAAGAACGTGAAATTTTCAAGTATGTAAATGTTATTCTGCTATTGTTTGCGACTATTTTATTTTTGAATTTAACAGTAGTTTTTCTTTGAATTATGATCTAATATCCGTCATATAATATGTAAGGAAGTAGAATTTTATTGGCCGTAATAGAAATGAAATTGAACACTTTACAATAGTTTCCAAACAATTAGTGTTCAAATACAATGTAAAAGTTTGTTTAAAATGGGATACACAGTAACCATTAAATAAATTTATTCAGCACCATATATATATATATATATATATATATATATATATATATATATATATATATATATATATATATATATATATATATATATATATATATATATATATAGTAGATTGAATAAAACCTTTTAAGTTGCATCTATACTTATTTGTTGTGTATATCACAAGTTGTGCGAATGGATGATAAGAGGAAAACTTATCAATCTTATCATTGTTGAAACTATAGTCAAAGTATTTTCTGAACAAAATGTTAGCAGAGAAGAGATTAATTAGACTAATCTTATATCTTATGTTTATTGCACCTGTCAGTATGCATCTTAAATTTTTATTGAGGTATATTCTCTAAATTAGAATAATTCATTTGAAGCATACTGATAAAAATATCGGTTGTATGAGATTTTACTTTATGAATAAGGTCATTCGAAGAGCAGCGACATCAGGATCGGCTACTATCATCGCATAAGCACATACATTGGATGCATGAGAGTGAAGCTATGACAAGATATTATTTTAATAAAGTGTTCTGTCTAAATGAAAAGCGTTTCTAGTGATGTTGCTTTTATGATCGAAGAATAAGAAATTCAAAGATAATACAAAAATGTGTACTTTTTTCCTTTCCTTCCATTGGTGATAGTCAGGGTTATTTAGGAAATAAGCAGAACCACTGTTAGATCAACCCGTCATAAATAGATGTGAATGAATATTAAGAAGTATACTGTTTGTAATTGATCAAAACTAATCAAGTGTCTTTTTTTACGTGCCACAAGTAAATACAGAATTTTACCCTCCCCAGCTCTATTCTATCTCTCCTCATTGTCTTCTCATGAAAAAATTTTATCATCACGTACTCAATGTCCTTAACTCATCGCTGAGATATTACTAATGATTGAGAAATACAAAGTGATATTAGTAGCATCCTGATATCAGGCTAAAAACTACATATTAAATAAGTTACTTAGTTTTACTCATCCATCAAGTATGATGCTCAGATTCTGAGTGAAGACGATCAATGTGTAAAAATATGCTTGCCGTTAAAACTCATTTCCTTAGCATCGTATAACAATGAATGCATCTTTTTGTTTAGTGCAAAAGCATTCGCTCAATGAAGGATCTGTTAGAGATAAAGTAAACATGTTCAGACCAGTGATCTCATATGCTCCCTATAAGATGGAAATGTTGGTAGCACTGATAGTATTTCGTTTGCTCGAGTACATGAAGTCTAATTTGTGTAAACACGTAATTCTCTTCTACAGACATTAATTACTCTACTTGACGATCTCAGATAGTAAAAATAGTGATATGTTAAAGTTTTCCTCTGGGCATATCTGGTTATGACTTCAGTACGTATGAGAAATACAATCCAAATTACTCATTCGTTACCATTTTATTTCGTAAACTGTAAAGCGGTTGACCAAGTGGAATAGAAAAGCGACAAACTGCGAGTGTAATTTCCAAGTGTGTGAGCAAGTTAGTTAGTTAGTACAAAACTGATTTTGTTAAATATTAAGGTTAAGATAAAGAATTTCAGTCAACAGTGGTCTTTTCATTTAATTCTGTTTCCAATGGTAGTTTTTACCAACTGAAAAGCTGTCAGACTGATTAAAAGAGTTGAATTAAGCATAGAAGTAAAGTTTTTCAAAAAGCCAAACTTCATGAAAATAAGTCAAGAGGAAGCAAACCGAAGTAGATTCATATTGCAATAAGTAATAAGAAAATGAGGCGGTATAGAACAAATAGATTAAAAATAAATATTTGGAAGATGGTCAGCGGTGAACAGATCTGTAGAACTTAGTTCAGCTTCGAAGCATTCTGCTGACAGCTTGCAGTTAATAATTGGTACTACCGAACCAACATTCAAAACTTCATAAATTGTTAGTTTAGTTTTCTTTCTTCAAAACTAATCCTATTTGACCTATTATTATTATTATTATCATTATTATTATTATTATTATTATTGTTACTATTATTATTCAAAGGAATTACCGTGATGTTTTTACAAAATTATTTTTAACAACCTTCGTTATTCTCTAAGTTTTTTCACAATATTTTTAAAATTGAAATTATAACTCAGCAAGTGTCTGGTTAAACTTTGAAAGGTAAATTGATTATATTGTCTAACTTCATTTAACCCATTTCATCGCAGTCGGAATAAGACGTTCTACTTTAATCTGGTTTGACTAGAACATTAAATTACTGTAGAGTAATAATGACATTTTCAGACTACTTCATCATACATAAATACCAATTGCTGGTCGTGTACAGCTTAGAATAAAGAGTTCTCTAATTAACAGTTATGCTTACAGAACAAAATGGTTTGATAAACTAACTTTGTTTTAAATATCAGTTTTAAATATTTGTACATTTAGGCAAAAAGAAGCTGAACTGCAAAAGATACAAAATTATTTAACAGAAAAGTTGAGAAGTGCCAAGGATAATGAAGAAGCGCGTTTAAATAGAGCAACAGCTGAAAAAGAAGAAATCTATCAACAAAATGAACGACATAAACTTGAAAAACAAACTAAAATTATTCAGGAAATTAGTAAGCATAGAAGTGATGAGATGGAAAGGCGTAGGAAAGAACTAGAAAAAGAGAAAGAAACAGAATACAATGAAGTACGCGAGAGGATAGCAGCAGATCTGGCCTTAGCTGAGTACGAAAATTCATGTAAAGCGAAGAGATTAGCAGAGAATAAATGCTTATCTAAACAGTTATTACAAGAATCAGTAAGTTCCACTGATCAACAATAATTTTATATTGTAGTCAGGCTTGGCATATACTCGTCCCTGTCATAACAGGAAGTCAGTTAAAGCCTAATGGTTTAGTGGGATTGTTAGTGAATGTGGCCACAAGCTACGCAAATTTCGAGTGACTTAAAAACTGACGTTAAAGGCAGCCAAGCAACTGCTGAAACAACCAATCAGGTTTTGATATTTCGTCTGGGATTTTTTTGTAAGACAAAGAGAAAGAGACTTTAAAGGCCACTTTAACAACGATCGAAATAACCAATTAAGTTTCTCATTTGCGGCTGGAAAGGCAGATTTTCATAGAATAAGGAAGTCTAATTGGTTACTTCAGTTGTTTCTAGGGTGGCCTTTAAAGTCACTCCTCTATTTTCTGAAAAACTACCTTTCTAGACGGAAAACCGAAACCCGATTGGCTATTTCTACAGTTACTGGAGTGGCTTTCAAAGATACCCTTAAAGTCGCTCGGTTTTCTCAGTAGTTGTTAAAGTGGTCTTTACAGTCACACTTAATGTCGACTGACTTCTGAGGTCACCATAACAACAACCAAATAACCAGTTACACCTCTCTGTTTTATGAAAACCTGCCTTTCCAGTCAAAGTAGACAAACTATATTTCCTATTTCGGCCGTCTCTGGATCGCTTCTAAAATCACTCGGTTTTAGCACTACAAAACCTAATCTAGATTTTAGAATCACTGCATTGAGTAAGTGCTAAAAGCACAAGGCATGTTCCTAATAGTCTCATCCATCATATAAAAAACGACTGACTTTGCTGAGTGGCTCTAATATATCAGGCATCTGTTACCTAACATCATTTGATGTCACAACTAGAGTTATCTTCATATCAAGTTGTGAACTAGTTACATTATTTCTCACAATGAAATGGGAGGAGCTATTAACGTAATAGTGTTCAGTATTGAAAAGTTGCTGATAAATTAAAACTGAAATTTCCAAATTCTTTAGTAACAGATAGGTGACAAACTTTGAAACAGTCTGCTAACTACCATACTTGTTTAATGTTTCACTGAAGGCTAACAGACATCAACTGCAATAAAGCTATTTTGATTGAAATCAAGAACTGTGTTATTTTTTACAATAAACAATAACAGTAATACAAAAATACATAATATTTACATGAGTAGACATTCTTCTAACCACTCTTCCTTAGTTCATGTAACAGCTATTCAGTTATATCACTTCATCAGTCGTAATCAATTTGAACTGGATTTAAAGACCAGGGTAAATAGTATGAGTGCAAAAAGGATACTGCCAAACGACAATTGAATTCAGTACTCAATAGCTGAAGTAAGTGGAAAACATGATCAACAGATGGGTTAAAGCCAAAAACTGGAGAAACCTCTTGATTATAAATGATTACTAACCAGATTTTCTTTTATATTTAATCATCATGCCTTTGTGGAAAATATAAATGAATTTTGTTGATTTGTATTTAACATAAACGAAATTACAAGTAGCTCAATATAATGTGGAATAACTGTGATTCGAGAAATCTGAAAATTTCTCCTGAAACGTATCATTCGAGTATGCATTTGCGATGAGAAACAGGGCAAGTGCTAGACGAATGAAAACAAAGGGTGATGAAATAAATTTGGTAAAACTAGCATTTCAGATAACTTAATTGAACGTTGCAAATAAGAACGAGGAAACTAAATACTCTGTCATTAGCAGGTAGTTAGGCTCAGTCAAAGTTCCCAATGAAAAAGGAAACTTGAATAATAATTAGTTACGTACAATGAAATTTATAGAATTTTCCCAGCAACTGGAAAAAATTTTTTTTAAGTTAGAGAATAAAAGTGAAGATCCCGTACTAGGGGAAAGTCATAGGATGAATATGTTTTGTCAAGAGAAAACATTGGCCTCTAACGGTAATTAGTCTTAATGACAGAGAAAGTATCATTTGATATTATTATGCAGTAAACTAGATCTATTATAGTTTTCATGAAAGGGTTTCTCTTAGTTACTAAATTTCATTGTTATGCACGTATGCACTTATATTTTCCTCATGCAAAATGAATTAGCATACTATGTTATTTTTTAAAACTGATCGACCATGTTATACAGAGTTAACTGCTTGTAAAAAGTATTTATGCGATGAATAGATATCCACAATGTACTCCCTTCTGATTGTTCTGAAGGTGAGTTTTATGTTTGATAGTTACACTAGCACTGCAGTCAAAACTCTGCTACTGGGTTATTCAGTCCAAGATTGACTTTCTGTATGATTGCACTATATACACATGATAACTCTACAGTGATCATCAATGTAGTAACATGTCTTTTGTCTCAGCAAAATTGCTTCAGTTTCCCAAATCTTTGTTGTTGAGAATTATGATCATTGACATTCGCAGTAGATGATTATAAACAAGAATACGATTTTGTTCATGAAAGGCAGTATTTTAAATTTTGTTTAGATCCAGAACATATTCTGTGTATCTGAGTAACACTATGTGACAGGTACTTAGGCATTAGGCTTCAACCTAGCGGATCATAGTTCTTTATCTAGTTGCAACTACCAATGTATGTCCAGCCACGTAGTGCAGTTAAAATTTACGCTACAGATATTCCTCATAAGCTTCTGCAAAGTTCCATATGAGTTTACTGAATTACGATTTGAAGATGAGTAGTTTACATCCTATGTGACTTACTGCACAGTTGTATCCAGTCCATTCTCGAAAGTACTGAATTTAGATTCTTTTGTTAAACTGTGGTTTTTTTAAATGGTGACTAGTTCATTAGCTTACTTCAAAGAAATCCTACCATATTTACTGCAGTTTTTATTAAGATGTTTAGATTAACCGTTGTGATTATTTTTTCTTTGCATGTAGTGCTAGCCTGCTTTTTACAACTAAACATTATGTTCACCTTCAGACTACCTGTGAATGAGATGCTCAGTTTTCACTTCTTAGTCAAATACTAGTTCCATAATTCATTATTTTTATCTTGGTCTGCCAGTTTTTATCTTTCTTTCAATGTAATGCAACTGTTTCATGTCAGGTTGTCTTTGACTTTGTAGAGCTGATGTCTTCATTCAGGAAAAAAAAACACTTACAGACTTTCAGTCTATACTAGTGGAACACTCATTACTGCACTAGATACCAAACTTTTGAGTTGTATACAAGAAGTCTCAGATTAAGTTTCTGATAACACTATAACATATGTACCATTTCTTGCATAATCATGTTTTTAGACCTGATTCCCACTCTTTTAAATATCTGCCAGTTTACAGTTAGACAAGTTGACAACTATGGTGCATTTTATCCAACTGTAGAGGTTTTAGGGAGTTAGTTTTAAATGATCACCTACCCCCTTAAATTTTAAATGGTCGTTAAACCTACATGAATACTTTCGAAGAAATTACATAACAACTATTTATGGTTCAACACTATATTTGCTTTGTAATCTATTTGTTCGTTTTCCTTTTTGATTTAATGAATTCATTCCATAGATTTATAAACGGGAAAATGCTGAGGAAGAATACAGAAAAGAAATTGAAATGGTCGGTAACCAAAATAAACTTATTCAACTAGAAGAGAACATCTTTCAAGATTACGCAAATAGAGTGAGTTTACAGAGAAAGGTTTGAACGTTGAAATTTAGGTTCTATGATCGTATGTTAATCCATATGAAATTTGTTTATTTGATATAGTGTACAGTGATACAGCATTATTTAGTTGATGACGTTATTGCTCATAATCACATATCATACTGATATGAGTATGAGCAATAATTTATGCTCGAAATGTCATCAGATAAATTATACTGTATCACTGTGTGCTATATCAAATAAATAAGTCTAGTATTGAAAGGTTTAAACGATTGAGCTAGTTTCTTGTTGTTTTGATTCAAGATTTGTGGAGATATTGGATTTATTCGACAAAATCCTGGTTATTAAATGAATACTTGAATGGATTCATAGTTACATAATAGAGACAACAGATGGCGACACTAGAGAGATACGTCTACTAATCTATGAGTTATACCTTTAATACCACGTTCAGTAAAATGATATTTGCTGCTAAAAAGCAACTGCTTCAGCTAAAGATCTAAATTGACTTCAAGTGATGTTATATGCCACTTTTCTTATTAAGTCATTCACCAATCATTTAGAAACTAATGTAAACCCTGATAATAAAGGGCTATCTCAGATAATGATAATGATAATATAGGGAAACTAAGTAATTTACCTCATATTTAATGAGTCTTTTTCATTAGGTTTAAGATAGCAGTCTAGTTTGAAAAGATCAAATGTAAAGCACCAGCAACCCACCTCACCTTCCTTTATTCCAAACTGCTTCGATAGAAGTCTAATGACTGGTCAATCATGACATAAATGCAAGTACACTGCCTACCAGTAAATGCTATGGCAGTTATTGAGTTTAATTAGTCATATTAGTAAGTATTCTGTATGCATAGGGAAAATAAAATAACCATAAATGTTCTTAACATCTGGCAATGTGCAATAACCAGAAGCTTGACTAAATTTCGAGTGCAGGAAATTTGATAAAACCTATCATTCTCATTTAAGTGTTGTAGCTGTTGTATGTAGATTTAGTTGTTTCACTAACCAGAGTTAACCATACTGACAACACTTAGTTTTGGCTGTTGAAAAATCACGTAGAAGTATGGATCAAAAGCAGCAAAATTTAAGTCAGAACTTTTGTTGAGGATATGAGAATTACATCTCATGAAACCATGAAGATGAAGTTAATGTACGCTTGAAATAAATACTGTGCATGCAAGACAGTTATTCACGCAACGTGTGTTGGTTGCCCAAATTACGGCTGGGGTAAGTACATCCCTGAAATGAACAGGTAAAGGTATCCATGTCCGTAAACAAAGTTAATGCTAGTCTGTTTGAGTCATCAAGAAGATTAAAACAACCTAGCTTGAGTTCCTTAGATGACGGAGATCACTGTTAGAAAACCTTGTTTGATCTAGTTCATAACCAAATATAGTGAAAACTAATTCGTTTTTTTATTTTCTTTGAAAAGAATCGATAATGATCGGTATAATGATGACATGCAAGCCTCTTCAGTACACGTACAAGCTAGTTTTTGATATTTTGGTGTTAGCTTATAATCGATTGCACTTTTCCTGCAGTCAAGCTGATTAGATGAATTTACTTTCATGTTCATGTGCTGGTTTTCCTCTGAAATTTCAAAGTGATATTCATCACTTCCTTATTCGCTATATTACACATATGAGGCTTAGTTTAAGGGCTGTAGTCAGTTTATTGATTTAGTTAACTTGGTTCGAAATGTACAGTTTTTAGTATGGATACTGGTTATTTATCACGGAGTTGTTGTTCGGTTCAACTGACGTTTGCATATACACCTACTGGGAAAGACATCTAACCGTTGATTATTGTGGAAATCAAGCTTTTTCATGAAAGTTCTAGTGTTTTCCCAGTCACTGAAGAGAAATTCATTTTAAATTATCTACTCATCACATCAGTGTTTGAGATTATTTGCCTACATGAATAGACATTACAGTGTGTTCATTTATAGTGGTTAACAGCAGGAAATAGGAACTCCAAACCCTTGAAACTAAACAGTTAAAAGCACTTTAAATAGGAAGGAAACTGATGCTACTATAAAACTTCAAATCACTTTTGTTCAATACTACCAGATACCCTATAGCTGAAAATGTCAAGTGGTAGTATTATTCGGTATGTTATTGAATGACATCCTACCTATGACCACTAATAAGTACAGAACTAAAGTGAATGGAAGCTGATGGAAGTTTCATTTCCATGAGATGAATCATCACTAATGCAACTTTGAAACAAAGTGGTGGATATAACTGGTAAATTAGTCAGAATATAAAGTTCGAAAGATAGCTTAAGTTGATCCCCCTATTACACTTGTAAAACTTCCTAGGGTTATCAAGTGTATATACGCGTATTGATATAAAGAGAAGTGACTTTCTAATGGAAACAAATAAAAAGTTTATATCTACAGAGTGCATCAGTGATATTCAACCTCGAAATCATTAAGATGTGACACAAATTCCTTCAATTTACTGGACAAAAAATGAAGTTAGGCGGTTGGCGACAGTAAACAAGAAGAATAAAGTAATGTACCATGGAATTATTTGGGGGTCGTTACAGTTTCTTATCTTTGAAAGTGACGGTGAATTCTTCACAATATAGACAAACCCCGTTATAAGAACCAAAAGCTAGTAATATTCAATGGGACACAACAATTTATACAACATTTAGTAATAGTAAAATACTATAATTAAAAATGAGTACTATAAAAAATATCACAGAAAAATATATTCCATTAAAGCAAAAAATCTATCGATACATAAAATTTTACTGAAACAAACGAAAACACATTGACAAATACCATCAAAAGTGGCATCAAAATATTTTCAAGAAAGAGTCCAAAAACAACTAAGATATACAAAGAAAAACATGGGAGCGAGAATTTCAAGAATCATTCAGATGGCATTCATCATGGACTGGCATAAGTTGGAAGAACATTGGAAAAGTAGGAGCACTGCACAGCTATTTCATCCTAGTATGGGACTCTTCAGAAGAGTGGAACCAGAGAAATTCAGGATCCGTACCCAGCTGGCAACAAACTAGGTGCTAAAAAGAAATTAAATGCTCAATAAGACAAACACATGTCAGAGAAGGAAAAAGCACGAAAGAAATTGAGTGCAAGTATTGAGTAATAGACAATGGAAAAGAGGACAAAAACAAGAAAGATAGAGCGAAAAAAATATCTACAAGAAATACAACAAAGCAAAATATGTCCAGCGCTCCCACGTTTCCAATCTTCCTCCAACTGATGTCAGTCCATCATGAAAATCAACTGAAAAATCTCTAAATGCCAACCAACTCCCAAATTCAGTTGAACTAGTGCTCACTGGAGATCTACAGGCAAAAACTAACAAGTTGACAGAAGAGGCAGGGCAGGGCAGCGGAGATGGGACTTCAAGTGAATGTAGAGAAGACAGAGGTGATGAAGGTACCCAACCAACAACAACGACAACGACAACAGGCACTAATCACCATCAACGCGAGAAATCTCAAGCAAGTTGTCACTTCCACCTACCCACCTACCTAGGCAGCATCGTTTCAACTACAGGCGGCACAGATGAGGACGTCAAAGTCAGCCACGATCGGAAAGACAGCAAGACAGGCCTTCCTTCACTAGCCCGAAACCAGTGTGGAGATCTTATGCACTGCACTCAGCATAAAGCGTCAACAACATCTGGATTTTCAACACCAGTGTCAAGTCAGTGCATCTATCTGGTTCAGAAACTTGGCGTGTCATGAAAAGCATTCCCAACAAACTACAAACATACATCATCAACAGCTGTCACCTACACCTACGCTCACTCGATACTGAAGATCAGATGGATGGCCATAAAGAATAAGCAACAAGGAACTCTGGCTAGCTGGCAACGAAGCAATCAACAAATATGCAGAAGTGAGTGGAGATGGATTGGGTATGCACTGAGAAGACCATTAGAGGATATCACGCGCCAGGCCAGACCTTCGAGTGGAACCCAGATGCGAAATGGCGAGCTGGGCGTCTGAGGCGAGGGTGAAATGGAGGAGACCGTGTGAGGAAGAAATGAGAGCTTCTGGGCAGTCGTGGAGCCAGGTTCAAAAGACCGCAGAGAACAGAGTGTAATGAAGACTTGCTACTGAAGCCCTGTATTCCACTAGAAACCCAGCGGACAAATAATAATGTATATAATAATAGTGCACACTGGTGACTAGCTTCGAGAAGTGATTTCCGAAGTTCTAATGTGAAGTCGTGACTAGTGGGGCAAACCTGGCGGCCATGAGGACAAACAGTCAACGATGACATTGGGTGGTGGTCACGACACGTCGTGAACTGACAGAAGTTGTGAATATGGACCACTGGATTCCGACCCAGCACCACAATGGTAACGTGCGGGCCATGGAATTTGATGGTCACGGGTTCCACCCATGGTATAGTCGTGCACCGCCGAAGAGTCTCATACTATGACGAAACAGTTGTCCAGTGCTCCTACGTTTCCAACCTTCCTCCCTCTGATATTTTGAATGTTTTCTTGTTTTCTTGCTGTTTTTCTTGAGATTCTAATACGCTATAGGGTTTAATTTATTGGGGTCCTTTCAATATCGGTTCACTTGTTACTGTTTGTCAGACGCATTTATTTAACAGACAGGTTTTTTGACGTTCTTTTTATTTATTGATGACGTTGTTTAACTATTTTCTTGCAATAATTATTTAGATCATAAACCACTGTAAAGCGAATGGCAGGAACGTTTACCCCTTAGAGAAAGCTGCACATACTGGATTAATGACTGGTTTAAGCACGGGTTTACCAGGGAAACCAAGTTTAGTTGATATAAATCAAGTGAATGATATTCAAAATTGCAGTGTTACAACAAATTCAACTGATCAATGTTTCAGTGAGGATATAAACAAAAATAATGAAAAGAATGATGTTTTAAACGTAAAGATGACGAATAGTACTTATGAACGTTTGGGGTTTATTTGGTAAAAAAGGAAATAAATATCTTTTAATTCTCTCACAAATTATAATTCATTATTTTATAAAAATATGTATCACTTTATCTACAACAAGAAAATTATTTTATAAATAAACAGAAAAAGATGAATATTAAAAAAGATGCATTTCATTCTGAATAAATGGAAACATTTAAGCGTTAAGATGAAACATTATGTACAAAAATCTCGAATCTGGTAATGAACAATTCATCCTGCATTAGTAGAACACATGCAAATGAAGAGGATTCAAGGTAGTAAGTAATGGGTTATGTTTGAAAATAGTAACTTAAAAATGCTAAAAAAGTTTAGAATCATATTCTTTTTAAATAAATCAAGTCAAAAACATTAAAACTGAAGAAGAGTATGCAAACAAAATAAAATAACCTAATATCAGACAATCTAAAGTTTCGTCAGAAATAAGGAAGAGTTTAGTATTTTATGCAACAGTTGAAAATTCATCGTAGAAGGTGTAATTGGATTATCGCAAAGGTCATTTTTTTGTATCAAAACTTGAATATTAACCTAAAAACGTAACGTAAGATTCATACTTTTGAAAACTAACTTCCTAGCAAGATCAAAACGTTCAAGAATAATACAAAATATTTGTTTATTTTGTTATTTGTTCTAATATACTACGCCGGAATTACACCAGTAAAAATATACCATATACGATGAATCATACTAACTGGGTGCCCAATTTTTTTCAGACCATTGTTGGTCAGGATACGTTTAAAATTTTGAAAATCTTTTCTATAAAAAAAATATATTTCAGCATGTGATGGTCCACTGAAAATTCATATCTTTTTTGCTTTTTTCAACTGAAGCTAGAGATTTCAAGTGAACATCTGTGGATAAACACATACATATAGGTAAAAATCGCTAAAACAATTTATTTTAGGTCAATTAATACTGCATTTGACAGTATGGTATATTTTGAGGGAGTTGTGGAGATTTGGAACTATTTCAAGTTGTTATTCATCGTAGACTGACATCAGTTGGAGGAACAAAGGAAACCTGGGAGCACCGGACAGCTGTTTCGTCCTAGTATGGTATATAAATCTTAGTTTTCACCTGTTTTAGTAATCCAAACGCTAACATAATTTGCCTTTCCCTACGGATGTGACAATGCAAATGTATTAACTTCAATATATAGTTATTTCTTTTTCGGTACAATCAGTAGAGTAGAACATCTTTGTTTACCTATTCTGGTTTGCATTAACTTGAGCATAGGAGGGTATTATTTTGAAACTACCGTAAGTATCAATGTAAACAGGCGACCGATGGTAATTCGTTTCAGTGCTCTAAATCTTTATTTATATACTTCCAATTCTCCGTTGTTATACTAGATTGAATTGTTCGACCTGTGTTGGCATATAGGCTAGTACGCGGATGCCTCGATATTGCCTGAATATTGATTATGGTGATTTACTTGATTGTGGCTAGCAAAGTTATAGAAGTGGTGTAATATTTTCTAACTGATACAGGTCAGTGAGTCAGGTTCTTCACAATCACGACCGAATATTACGCTCAATGCTTGAAAGGTCAATGGCCTATTCGTTAAACGATCGAAGCACGGTATCCACATCTTCTAAAATCGGTATCAGTCACAACTATTTGTTGATACACTTACATTTCTCCGCTCTTATACTGGAAAGAATTATTCGAATTCTTTAGAAATATGGCTTATAATGCGGACGCCTTCATATCGCCTGAATGTTGATTATGGAAATTTACCTGGTTGTGGCTAGCAGAGGAATGCAGGTAGCACGAAGATTCCTTGTTGTCACAAGTCAGGTGCACGTAACTGCACCACCAGCAGTAATGTAATTCCAAAACACAGTGGAAAATCCCACCTACCTCTTCAAGCTCCAAAGACAAATTCACTAGGTGAGTGAGGCACCAGAACCACCTTTTATGCAACCGGTATCAGTGACAAATATTTGTTGACACAGTTGAAATTCTCCATTGTACTAGTGGGTGGAATTTTTCGACCTATGTTTACATATGGCCTAACATCCGGGTACCTCGATATTGCCTGAAAACTAATTTTGGAAATTTACCTGGTTGTGGTTAGCAAAGGAATGCAAGTAGTGCGAAGCTTTCCATTTGCTACTTGACAGCTGGATAGTATTTCATTCCGAAGTGATGCAATTCCTAAACGCACTCGAACCGCCTACCAATCGCATCAAACATATTCCCTAGATGAGTGAAGCACAATAGCCACAACTTGCACAACGGCTATTGTTGATAATCATTTGTTGATATACTTGCATTTCCCTGCTGTATACTTGATAGAATAGCTCGACCTGTTTTGGCATATCGGCTCATATGAGGTTGCTACGACGTAAGTCTTCGAGCGATACGAATCTAGTAGACTACAAACGACACGAATCTAACGAGCAACAAATCGACTCTTACGTAAATCACAACGTCAACAACCAACACAGCAATACTCTCGATGTCCGAAGACAGGTCAAGACAGACCGTTGAGAGAGAGCTTAATACTGTCTCAAAAACAATCAATACAGATTACAGTGATGCTGAAGGTATACAAATCTAAATGACCTTGACAACATTAAAACCATATATAGGTAAGAATCATGAACAGCAAATGAGATATCAGACGTGAGGGTATAGAGAAGAAAACTAGCAACATCGTGAAAACAGCTATGAAGGTTATTTTAAAGTTATGGGCTAAACAGCATTTAAATCTGTGCAAAATCAGGGGTGCACAGCACTACGAATCGTTTCAAATGCCAAAGCGTCCTCCACTAGACCAGTGACTGTGGATAGCAGAGTAATCCAGATGGCGCGATGCCTGGAAATTGACACTCCTCACCTTGATCAAAATGCGAAACTGTAAGTGATGACTTCCAATCCAGGAATGACCGTTGTACCCATCGCTTCAAACGCCAAAACCTTATTCACTACATGAGTTAGGCACGATAGCCACCTCCTATAAAACGGGTATCAAATGTAATTATTTGTTGATATACTTACATTTCTCCACTGTTTTACTGGGTCGGGACGTTCTACATGTATTGGCGTGTGGCTTATAATGCGGATGCTTCGATATTCCCTGAATTTCGGTTATGGGATTTCTTTTCGTTGTGGATAGAAGAGGAATCCGGATGGCGTGGAGCTAGATATTTCGCACTCGTCATATTGAGGAATCTGTGAAACTGTCAGTTATAATTTTTCACTAAGGTATGACAGTAGTTCCCACTGCCTCAAACGCCAAAGCATGATTCACTTGACCGGAGACCCTTGAAAAGCACCTACTTTACAACTATTATCAGCTATAACTATTTGTTGATGTAACTGCAAATTTCCGTTGTTTCACTGTATCGAGTTGTTCCAACTCTATTGGCATACTGGTCCGTATGCGTAAGCATCGATATGGATAAAATATTGATTATGGTAAAACACATCCTCGTGGCGAGAAGAAACGAGGATGGTCGATCCCAAACATTTAGCATCGATGAGTTGGATGCACCCGTAAATGATTTAATTCTCATTCACATTCAAAGCTCCTACCCTTCTCTTTGAACTCCAAAGCTTTATTTACTAGACTAGTTAAGCACAATAATCACCACTTGTACCACGGCTTCCACTTATAAGTATTTGTTGAAATACCTGTAATTCTCCTTTGTTCTAGTCGATCGAATTGTTCAACCTGTGTTGGCATATGGTCTTGTGTGAGGATGCTTCGATACTGCATCCTTACCGATTATGGTAGTTCACTTGGTTATGCCTAGCAAAAGAATGTATGTTACCCGATGCCATATATGTCGCATTGGCAAGCTGAATGTACGTGCCCACCAGTGGGCGAAGTTGATCTATATAAGACGTGAAATTCCTACCCGTCGAATCAAACGTCCAACCTTTATTACCTAGACCACTGAAGCACGAAAACCACCTGCTGTATAACATTTACCAGAATTAACTCCTTATTCAGATACCAGCAATTACCCGTTATTAAATAGGATCGTATTGTTCGACCTGTATACGCATATGGGCTCATATACCAAACCCTAATTATTCCCTGCATAATCATTACTTCGATTTGCACTATTCCACAGCTTTCAACTTAAAATGGAAGAGCATGACATTCGGTTACCAAAACTTGTAACAACAATCACTGCGGTATATATACATACAGCTGACCAGTCCCGAAGGAAACGAATTGTGGGACATGTATTCTCCTTTTAAACACAAATAAGTAGGCACCATAATACATATGCACGCAATATCGAGGCATTCGCATACTAGCACAAATCAATCAATCAACGTTTCCGGTAGATAGTCAATTCAACCTTAAGTTGAGCCAAAACGAAAATGTCAGGAACAGTTAAACAACAGTCCAGCATCACACAGTAGCAAAGTGAAGTATTAATGGTAAGCCTCAATCAAAACAAAGACAAATAATGAGTGTTAAGTCAGAGAGGACGAGCAAATCACAAAATAAAATTATATCGGTTACAGTTAAAAGCATAATATTCATAATGAGGGTGAAAATACTCAAATAAATATCAATACTGTCAAATAAAGTGCTCAAGAGGGATTTTCAAATCATTTTCTTCGTTACACGAGACTCGAGGATCATTGCAAGTATAAACCTCACTAACAGCGTTATAGCGAGATCCAGATAGGCAGTCATACAAGTGAGAAAAAGCGAATCCTGCATAATTCTCCTAGGCACAAATAAGCAAATCACCATGACAGATAATCAAGCAACATTTACGTATCCGCATACCAGCCCACATCCCAACACAGATCGAACAATTTCATCTACTACAACAACCGAGAATTACAAGTATTTCAACATATATATATAACTAATACCCGTTGTACAAGACATGGCCATCGAGAATCACTGGCCTAGTGGATAAAGCTGTCATATTTCAAGCCATAGGTATGAGCTATGAATATCAGAGGGAACAACACTCATTTGGTTGCACGCACATATAGCTGACCAGTCCGAAACAAATGAGACGAATACTCCGACCTGTATTCCTCTCCTACCCACAAACAAGTAAATGACCATAACAAATATTGACGCAACATCCACGCATCTGCATACCAGCCCATATCACAACACAGGTCGAACAATTCGATCCAGTAAAACAAATGTATTAAGAAATATCCATGTGTTTTAAGGATGATCATTTGGGAAAAGAGACCCACTTATATGTAGTTATTGAGGCTATGAAACTCTTTGACTTTTAAACATTAAAAAAGTCTGTAAGACTTGAAAACTCTGATGAACTGCGGGTTTCAACTGTAATAATTTCGCTAACAGAAAAAGTATTTCTATTTCTCTGTTTCAGCTACAAGCTGAGTTGAGAAAATTAAGAAAAGATTTCTAACTTCAAGTCGCTCATCTTACTGCCTGTAAACAACATCGATTGCATCTTCAATCATCCCCTCGATATTCAAGGTTGACGGATTTTTCAACAAATAACAAATATACAATAATATCGTGCACTTTCTTTAATGCTAACTTCGTGATGTCATCGAATGTAATTATATCTTCAACGACTTTTATTTCTAATAACTAACTGTATTCACTGGTTTGAAACAACTCAGTTTTCATAAAAGCAGAGACTTGTTTAAGCTTGTATTGACAGTCAGTTTGCAGCAGATAAGTCAGAATAGTAGAGGAGACTAACGAAAACAGATAAATGGGAATAAATGAAGATCTACAGAATTCGGATAATGACATTTGACTACTAGTAAAGGACAAGTAGTAAGTTGTGATGACTCTTAAATGACTAAATTCTACTTATTATTAAAGAGTCCGATGCAGCAACTGGGAGATATGGAGGAAAAATGTTCACTATAAAACTCGACTGAATCAAAGGACTAAAATGATACTTCTTGATTAAGATATACTGATTATTCCGTTCAAAAATGAATTAGTATGCTGAAAAGTTCGTTGATCAAAGATTTCAAAAAAGGTGAAGATAAAAAACGGGTTAACGCTAGATTTTACTTGATTTGACAAATATATAACTACAATTTTAAAAGAAAATCACAACTCAAGGATATGAATCTCGTACATTGACTCGTTTTTCTCGCTCCCATCCGGAAGCATGTGCGTAAAGTTCAATTTGATATGGATCACACCACAAACCCCGAGGATTATGGAAAACGGGGTAGTCATACCAATGTCCAACTTTCCAATCTGGGACACCTTTCATTAGGACCTCTTCGTATTCACGGTTTTTTCGGATCTGCTTTAAATATAATCGCTGCTGCTCAGCTAGAATGAAAGGAGTAAGCGCAATTCGATTTTCTTGATCTTCTCTTGTGATTGCATCCCTTTTTGCTTTACGATATCTTTGAATTTTGAAACCGAAATATGTTGAAGTATAGAGACCACCAATTACTAGAAAGCCTTCACATAAAGCATAAACAAAAGATATTACATTGTTAGTTACTTAAAGATTATAATATTAAACGCTCATATCCTAGGTACCAATGTAATCTTCTGTCAGACGATTAATAATATTTCTACTACCACTACTTAAGCAACACAATCATGATGGTGTTAATTTAGCTGGTGATATGGGGAAACAAAAAAAAATGAAATATTAAAGATCTGTGAAAAAAATGATAAGATATTAGGAAGGTCGATCGTGATGAAACCACTGAAAGAAGAGTTGAATGGCGGTTTCTCTTGTCGAGTAACGGTTTCCATTTCGCCCACACACTGTTAAATTACATTGCTGAGACGCTGCTACCACTGAATATATACAACTATAAAGAGAAGGCGATGATGAAATCCTTAGCTTACAGTAACCAAGTGTAGGAGTAAAAGATTTTACATCAAAACATCGTATACACGACATTTTACGGTACGATTTTGTCGACATACCTTTAAATGTGGCTTAGACTGGCGTTGATCGTGCGAAAATTGATCTCATTCGTCCGACTGTCACCAGGAGTCATACAACACTACTATACAAACTTCTTGACTATTTACAACGCTTCACCAGCAACGAAAGATGTAAGTATAGACTACTCTCAATCTTGTTAAGCAACTTTACATCAGGTTAGTCCAATGTGCACCATACTTAGGGATGCTAATTGCCAACTGACTAGGTACGGTGTCTACAACATACGAGTTATTTTAAAGTAATTCGACGTCCAAAGTCGAAAGATTTATCTGTGGATAATAAATCTATACCAACAACATGCACTTTCTTAAGCGACGTCTTCAGACTTTTGTAGACGGCAATTATATCATCAACACCTTTCACACAGGCAAAACGATTCATTACACAACACGTAGTTTGCCACGTGATAAAGAAGTATCAAACATTATTGAGTAAGCACATGGATAACAATAGCAATAAATAAAATTTGCATCATTAAGAGGAAAGTTGGTAGGGAAATGAATCACACAAAGTGTCTTCATTTCATATGGAAACTCTCCATAAGCCCTAATGCGAATGTATGAGTTTGAATAGAGAGCTTCGGCTAGCGTTACATACTTGCTTGGTACTCCTTTTAAAGAGAGACACTGCCAAAACACCTCACGATCGACAGAGTTGAATGCCACCTTCAAGTCAACAAATATGGCAAGTGTCGGCCACTGGTAAGTATGCCTATGTTCCAGGACCTGTCGAAGGGTGAAAATTTGATCGATACACTTTAGTCCACGTCTGAAACCCACTTGGTTTTCTGGAGTTTTTGTTCTCGAGATCCAGTCAGGCATCGGATGACTGTGAACTAAAGGGTCTTGGACACGATGTTAGTTGGACTGCCCCCTATGATTGTCATAACAAGACTTTCCCTTCTTATAAACTGAAATGATGAGCGATCTCGACTACTTGAACAGGAATACACCTGATTTCCACTCACTACCTAGAATTTCCGTAACTCTATCCGGTAATTTTCTGCCTCAGTCTTTGAGATCTTCTGATGACAAACAGTCAGGTCTCGTTACTTCGCATCGTTTTTAGGTTTGAAACAGCCTGCTCAACTTCGAAGACACATGGAGGACCGACAACATCTCAAAAACCTTCGGGCTGGGTATTAAGGAAAAGAAGCGTGACTGCAGCCCGGTTGAACTGTGCTTCAAAGTGCTCTGCTCAACCTTTTAGCCGCTTTTCTTGAGACGTTACCCGTTGTGCTATCACTAACTATCATTTTCGTGTCATCAATCAACTTTGGATGAGGTTGCGGAAATTCAATAGCTTTTATTAACCTATAGATGTAGGTTACCAACTACTTTACCACTGCTTCCGAAGCAGATTGAATATCACACCAGACTTCCTCAGGATGAGAACTCCTGTCACGTTCAGAGAGATGTTTATCTACCTTCTCCTTGTTATATTTCCTGAGAGAATATAATACGCATGCTTAACTGATAGCTAACTTCGTACACAAGAGCCACCGACCGCAACCCAGGATGAATAGAAAAGAAGACTGAAGCTGGATAGAAGAGTTTATTCCTCCGAGAATAATAATCAAGTAACCCCAAAACACGTGCGTATGTATACACATGAGATATGACCTAGTCCGCAAATTGACACACTAATATAGTAAGAGTAAAAATTAACCAATCAGCGAATTACATTGCAATCGGGGGTAGAAAACAAACTACTAGTCATGCTGTAAAAAATGGCGTGAAAACGACAATATAAAAAAATGTTCTGATCACTAACAATGTTTTATGCAAACTGGGGCCTTCCAACATCTCCCCTTTTCAAAAAAAAATACATGAATACCTTCACTTCTTGGGATCCAGTTGGAAATGAAGTGTTTGAGACTGCTTCCGATCCGTACATCTGAGTTGAGGCTCTTTGTTGGTATCGGTTTCGGGTTTTTCACCATCGTTGGTAAATTAAACGTATCCAGTAGAATATTGAGTGGTACGGTTGAATTTTGTGGTCGGCTGGCTTTTCTGTGACGCAGCTGGTTCTTGTGTCTCGCCCACTTCTCCTGACCCATCTTGATATCTAACATCACACTCTGGCGTCTTCCCATGACAACACCTTCCGTCCACATGCCATACCTTGGTTTGTAATCTCGTACGTAGACGCAGTCTCTCCTGTTGAAGTGTGATCCGACTGTCTGCGTTGTTTGTGCACGACGTAATGGTAACAATGAGTGGTGCGGGTTACATAGCCTCCTTTTCACTAAAACTTCCGCCGGAGATTTTCGATTTGGTAGGGCATCATTTGGCGTCGAACGATAGATGAATAGAAATTGTTGTATGACATAGGTATCCCTTCCTCTCCTTTCTGCTTTCAGTAGGGCTTGCTTAAAGGTATCAACAAATTTTTCTGCCCGGCCATTGGATTGCGGACGGTGCGGTGGTGTATAAATATGATGGATCGCACTCATAATGCGAAACTCGGTAAACTCGCACGAGGTGAATTGTGATCCATTATCCGAAACGATGGTCTTGGGAAACCTATGGCAGATGAAAATATTTTTAAGAGTAGCAACTGTTCGAGGTGATGATACGGGCGATACTGCGACGATCTCCAGCAACTTCGAATAACCATCGACAACAACCAGATAGCAGGTCCCATATAATGGAACTCGCGAAATTGATATGGATCCTAACCCAGGGTCGGTCTGGCAATGGTCAACTCTTTGGTGAAAGACATGGAGGATTCTTAGCTGCCTTCTGACATAATGCGCAGTGACCGACGAATTCAGCTATATCAGAATCCATACTGGGCCGATAAGTATAGCTTCTGGCAATGGCTTTCAGACGTCCTATTCCTGGGTGACCAGTGTGAAACTGTTTTCGGACTTTTGCGTGGAGAGATTGGAGGACCCCCTAGGCGTTCTCTGAGCATGAGGCAGTTGCTGACGACATAAAGGGATTCTTTTTTGCAGGACAATTGTTTCAGGTCACCGGTAAACGATTTTTGTGGCAATTTCGTCTGGACATAATGCATAACTTCCTGCATAATATGGTCGTTGCAGGATTCATTTTCGACTTGAGCCGGTGTAACATGAAGCGGGTGGACTGCACAATCCAGTAGGCGAACTGCATAATCGTTTGTGGATACCAATGCGATCACTCTGTCTTCGTAAGGTGTAGGGTACTCACTTATAAGCCTTGAAAGTGCATCTGGATGTTCAAAGTCTTCTGTTCGGCGATAATAATTTACTGCCCACCGTCGTATTCGGTTGGCGGGATGAGCTAGAACACCGCGTTTTGACCCAAAGATTTAGAAGGGCTTGTGATAGGTGGACAAGGTGAATTTCTGTCCATACAACATCTTGTGAAGGCGTCTGACCTAAGAAACTAAGGCAAGTCTTTCCTTCTCGATGTAACGTTTTTCCGCTGACGTGAGAGATCGAGATGTATGCATGACAGGATTTTGCGAACTATCCAGATATTCATTCAATAAGACGGCTCCAACACCAGCGGTAGAAATATCTGCGGTAACGACGATTTGTAGCTGTGCGTCGTAATGTGTTATCAGGTCAGAGCTGAGTGGACTTGAATATCATATTCTCTTGACCAGGGCCATATGGCCTCCTTGTGTAGGAGACGATTCAACGGTTCTCGTATATCATGTAGAGAGGATAGGAATGTCGAATAATGACTGATGAGATCAAGGAATGATCGGAGAGTCGCGACATCTGTTAGATTTGGCATCTTCTCAACGGTGCGAATGTTTTCAGGATCGGAACGTCTATCAGATACATCGAAGACGCAAGAGTCACCGACTGCATCTCTAAATACAAACCTGATGTACCCAACTTCCGATCAGGCACAAGTATGCTTCCCTGCAGCCTATTTCTTGGTACCAGAAAGGCACAGACACACACGTGCCCCAGGTAATGCATGACATGCAATACCGTAGATACCTGTAAGATGCCTTTTCAGTCAGCTCGGCTTTCCTACTCGAGCGTTGAAGTTGCCTGCTAGTATGAATATATATATCTGAATGTTTTGCTTTCTGTAGCAAAACTGATAGTTTTGATTGCATTTATTGTCTGCATCATCCGAACTGCAGTTTATGAGTGTAGGCGAAGATTATCAATAGGCATTGGCAAGTCCGAAGATCCTTGGCAGTTCTTAAAAATCCGTTCAGTCCGACAGCACACAAAAAGCTCTTGACTAGTATTAAGTCGAGGAGTGTACCTTTTGGCCCACAACTTAATGTAATACCTACACCAACAGGTCAGCGGAAACCGATTACTGACTCTCTGAACAGTGGTAAAGTGGATTTTGCAAACTGAACACATTAGCTAAGCAAGATTAAGTGAATAACTATTTGGGTCTTGTGCGTATGCTTCAGAAGTACAGCGTGAATCCATAATTAGTGATTTCGGGGTTTTGGCATCCGACGCTTGTTGTCCCACTTGGCAGAATTCAAATGTAGAAACGTTCAATGTCAAATTTGAAGAGTGGATTTAGGA